AGCTCAGAAAGAAAAGCTGGAGATGAGTTTTTACTGAAAGAGCTCAGAAAAGCTGGAGACAGGTCTCTGGTGCTCCAGGTTTCTCCCAGGGATTAAGGAAATCTTGTGGAGATCTGTCCTATCCCACAGCACGGGATGCAGCAGGATCTCCAGCTGGGATCAGTGTCCTGTAGGTCACTCTGGGACACTGAACTCGGGAGGAGGAAGGAGGGGAGAACAAGGAAAACACCTCGAGGTCTTGGAATCTGCCTCTTCCCTCGTGTGCCGGGTGGTTTTGGGAATGTTTCAGGTTGGAATGTCACTGTAGGATTGTTTTTCTCCGCCCCAGTGACCAGAAGGCCTCCAGTGTGGTCCTGCCCCTGATCCTGCCCTGCTTCTACCCCGAGCTCTTCATGCTCTACATGCTGTACCATGAGAGGGAAGATGACCTGTACTGCCAGGGCATCGTGGACCTCAGCCTCTTCCCTGACATCAAGCTCCTGGAATTTCTGGGTGTGCAGAAGTAAGTGGTGTTTTTCCATCCCTGGATACGTGACTGGGATCCTGGAAAGGCCCTGGAACCCGTTCCTGGTCCATCAGTGGCTGTAGCACTGAGGTTTTGTAGAAATCCTGCCAGGAAGTGCCTGCCTGTCCTGGAAGAGCAACATTGACCAGGGAAAAGCTGCAAATAGCTGGACTAATTTTAATTTTTGGCTGGAAAACCCCTTTATTACCTCAAAAAAAAAGCTTTGTTCTGACTTGGGACCAACCAGAGCTTATAAATGTGTCTTAGAAAGGGCAACAGCGGTCTCTGCTCTGAGAGTGGAGACACACAGGCTCAAAAATGAGGAGTCAGATGTTTCCTTCATCCATTCCCGCTGCTAAATCCACCTCTGGAATGGGATGTGGGGCCAAACTCCAGCAGCTTTCCCACCACAGCATCGTCTGCACCTCAGGGAGACCCGGAGTCTCTGTTGGATTCAGTCTGTGCTCAGTGGGAGGAGTTGAATCTGAAGGTTCCCAAACTCTCCACTAATTATTTTCAGGAGAATCTCTGAGTAAAATCAACCCTTTGCCCAGATTAATTAATTAATTAATTAATGAGCCAATTAATAGTAATTATCCCTGGAGCAGTGCAGATAGATTTTGGGTGGGTTCAGATCTTCTCAGTGTCTCTGTGATCTCCCTCCAGGCACCTCTGGCCTCTCAAGGATCTCACCCTGACGACCAACCAGGTGAGGAACATCCCGGAATTCCGGCTGTTGGGGATGGGATCGGGAATCTGGGGTGGTGCTGGAGCTTCCTTAGGGATCCAGCGCCTCGTTAGGAATGGGGGGATTCATGTGGAGATGTTCCAAAGGATCTGTGTCTCCTTTCCAGAGGCGCTCCCTGATCAAGGACAAGTGTTTCCTGTCGGCCACCGAGTGTTTGCAGAAGCTCATGTGAGTCACCGGCTGCTCAGCCCGGGGGGATTGGGGATTTAGTTCAAAATTGTGGGATAAAATTTAGAGAAAATTCAGCTAAAATTTAGATAAAATTTAGAGAAAATTCAGCTAAAAATCAGCTAAAATTTAGATGACATTTAGATAAAAATGAGATAACATTTAGATAAAATGTAGATAAAATTCAGCTAAAATTTAGATA